CCCACCCCCCCCCAAAAAAAAAACAACAACAAAACAAAACGAAACAAAGCAAAACAAAACAAAACACATACACATATACACGGAGACACATACACACGCGCACACACACGCGCGCGCACACACACACACACACACACACACACACTCACACACACACACACGCACGCGCACGCGCGCGCACAGACACAATCGTTGGTATGTCGCACACGCATACTCATCTGCTGCAAAGATACGCTATTATTTTGATCTCCCCCTTTTCAGCGTCACTGCATTCTGTTCCATGTTTTCTTCCTTTGAGCAGAAGCAGGTTTCACCTTTGACGCCACGCCTGGCCAGATACAGACGTGCACCGGAGGTCATTTGTCTCTGAAATGTACCCTCAATGACCCCCAAAACGGCACCGGTCTCGTCCAGCTCATTTCTCTGAGCATTTACAAAACTGAAAATGGCGCGAGAAAGGAAGACCTGGCTTCTATAGATGCGTTTTCCAATGGTAAAGTCCACACAAAACCTTCTTTGACTGCGACCGCAGTAGGCAACATTTCTTCTACTGCTTCCTCGTATTTGCTTCTCGACTACCCAGCTCCCCAGGCAGGTGTCACAGGAGACTTTGAATGTGAAGCTCATGGCACGAACTTTTTCGGACATCCTGTCGTTTTGACCTCAGCCACATCGGTGAACGACGTGACGCCACCCGGGAGTCCTGGGGTTAGTCCAACCGAAGACCTGTCAGTACTGACTGAATTCCAGTTCCTAAAAGACAAGGAGCAGAATAAAGTCAGAGGTTATTTCGGACAGTATAAGTTTATCAACTCCAGCGTCTTTATGGGTCACACGTACTTAGTGTCTGCTAAGCACTTACCTTATGACGTAGCCTGGTCCCAGTGCGCTAAATATGGCGGTTATTTGGTTGAGATCAACTCGAAAGTTGAACATGAATTTATCTCAAACTTCATGGACTCTGTTGACAACTAGCTGAGTTCTTACCTCCGTTATTTCGTGACTGGAGGGTATTACAACGGTACCGATTTCACCTTTCTTCATCACCCCGAGGACAACATGTACCTTGACTGGGATCCCGGAGAGCCTAACTACGGCGATGACTACTACTGTCTTAGCTTGGGTAAAAGGCAGCAATGGAAGTTTACAGACACGTTATGTGAAGCCACGGACGTTTCTACATTGTGTGAGGTACCGGCCAGCGTTTAAAGACGAACTGTTGCCGTACATTTTCTTGAATAAAAAGTGTATGTATATATGTTGCGACGTGGTGGAATCAGGCGCTCGTCAATTTTGGGCATGTCGTGTTATTGATACCATCTCAAAGCTTGAATATTTATTTTGCCTTTGAAAACTAAAAGATCCACCTATCTTGATTAGAAGTAGATATTTTTTCATTAACGGAAGGGAACAGGGGTACGGGGGGATAGTTGTCGCGCCTGGTGCCAGAGGAAAAATCAGAAAATATAAGAGTGAAAATGTCCCCAAAGTTTGGTGACTTCCAAAACTAGAGAGCTCTGCAAAAATGTTTATTCAAATGTACATTAGAAGAGTTGATTCGAAAATAAATTTGATAAAAATTTAAAAATTGGCCAACAGGGGGGGGGGGGGGGGGGATGTCAGTTTCTTCGATGTCATACTTTTGTCGAGCGCTTGATTTCACTACGACGCCACACATATGGGAAAAAAAAGAAAACCAAACCTATTTATGTCTCATTTGTATGTCTTGGAAACTAACGATTTAAGATAGTTTTACGCGATGTGTCTCAGTCTCGTCTTACTTCTGTTATTGTTTATTTATTTCCATTAGTCTGGCATTCCATTAGACAGAATGAGGTCATATTAACTCCCCTTCTCCCCCCCCCCCCTCCCCAACCCTCTTCCGATTTTCCAGTAACTCTAGGTATGTGAATGTTATTGTCACACAACACAAAACAAGAACAAAAAACAAAGGCCCCGACATGCCCGGACGTATGGAGGGATAGAGCACAAGCGACAGTGCATTGCCTGCTTGAGGGACAGTAGACTATTTATATGTTACGACACGGAGGAGTCAGGCGCTCGTCGATTTTGGGGTTTATTGGAATTATTCGTATACCTTTAAGGCTTGTTAATTTGTTTTGGGGTTTTTTAATGGAAAAAAATCCACCAACACCCCCCCCCCCACCTCAACAAAAAACAAGCCTGCATCTAGCTACTTGAATAGAAGACGAGATATTTGGGATTGAAGGAGGTGGGGTCGATTAGTGCTAAAGGGGAAATTAACGAGAAAATGGCTGTCAAAGTTTGGTGACTTCCATAGCCCAAGAGTCCTTGAAAACTGCAAATTTAAGGGGTGGGGTAGGGGAGGGGGTTGTGCCTCCGATCACCGTTTTCCGGTGAAATCTATATTTAAATGTGTTTATAAATGGACATTAATATGTATTGAGAGGGAAAAAGCGAACCCATAAAACAACAAACAACAACAACAACAACAACAAACAAACAAACAAATAACAATAGAACAGAAAAAAGAAAAGGGAAAAGAAAAAGAAAATAGGGGGAAAAATAATTGCCCAACCTGTCTGTCAGAGAAACAGGAAATAATCGATGGGGTTCATGTCAGGGTAATGCTGTGACTGTGACCTTAGTTTATTTTAATTTGTAAGCTTCCCATCTATTACACATTCCCCAAACCTTTCTCGCAACCAATCAATGGCCAGGGGGCTCTCGTGATCTAGAGGTTAAAGTGTTGGCCTCTCATTCAAAGGTCCTGGGTTCGAATCCGGGTAGCGACCTAAAATTTTGTTCTCTAAAATGGTCTCCTTTCACCTCCTTTCCTGCTCTCTAGCAATGTTTTGTCGTCTGCTTTCGTCTCCTCTTTCTGCCCCCACCCTCACCTCCTTTGCCCCCTCCTCTGGGCTCCTGACTCTTTCTGTAGCCTTTAAACTGCTACTCCTTGGCTCCTTCTTAATGCTGTCTTTTAGCCACACCCCTGATCTTCTGGTAAGAAAGATCTACACCTGGCCTTCTCGGACAAGGGCGAAAAATCTCGGAGGACCCGTGTTCAAGTTGCGAACGTTAAAGATCCCTTGGTGGTCTAAAATCGATAAGAGTAGGCTTCGGCCGCCACCCGGGCAAAATTAAACATTTCCTACGAACTGAAAATGTTAGGTGTGTCCCGCGTGCTCGTATGACCTTATGCAGTTGCAAGCGCCCGTAAAACACTTCCCCCAAAATTTACAAAAATCAATGTCCGCTCTTGAAGTGTCGGTGCAGGGGGAAAGGCTGACTTCTTGGACAGTGTAATCAAAGTGAGACAAAGAAGCAGATGCAGGTTAAGTCACACACGAAAAGCTTTCTCACAACGGGAACATAATTAACAAAACTTCTTGTCCGAGGTTGCATCACTGAATTGTGATGAAAACAATTAATTGATAAAATATACTGGCGATCAAAAGAGAGGTATCCCTTTTTTATTCTGTATAAAATCTAAACTTTTGAGTCTTTACGCTAGATCTTTCATGTAGTCAGTACTGAGCACTTTAAAAAGAAGCTAAGGTTCTAAAATTAGCTTTTTGTTGCTTCAGTTAGTGGTCATAGCATTAATGAGAAATAACAGAAAATTCGGATTTTTTCTTCGACCAGAAGGAGGATTTTTTTTCTATTTTTTTTTCATTTTTATGAAGTTTAGGTCCGTGTTTACTAAAAAGCGCATCAACATTTGATCATTGTCACCCCAAAGAGACGGCGCCTTTAACTCAAAATCAGAAAAATCAAAACAAGTCATCGGCATGCTCAGCGCGCTGCTGTTGCAAGGACATTCAACATCAGTAAAAGGACTAACATTATCAGCCAATCCAGGAAACGGCACGTATGACTTGGCCTTTTCAAAACAGACCCAAAACTGACCATCCAAGCATGCCATTTTAAGACCCATATATCAGGCCAGTGCACTGAGAAATCGTTTCAGAACAACGCCCAAACCGCGAGACAATTTCCAGGACGTTTACTCGTCAGCCGGTATACTGTTCGTCGCAAACTGTGGTAATTCAAGATTGAAGCTTGGATGACTACATACAGACTGCGTTTGCGGTCAAAACACTGTCAGGCTAAGGATGAGCTGGTCACAGCTACACCGCCAATGGACCTTCTCGGACAATTCTCAATTCCAAGTTGAATGCCATGATCGGAGTGCAGAATAAATTGCCGCAATGAATCGATTGGCCTGCCATTTCTCCAGGTTGTAACCAAATTGAACACATGTGGAAAAGGATTAACTTTAACTCTGTTGCTCGTGACTTGAATCCCAGTCCCAGGACCATTTTACAGCTGCAGCAAGCCCTCGCCAATGCCTGAAACAACATTTTGCAGGAAGATTTGGGTATTCTATATGCAGAATAATTGTATGCTCTGATGTGCCGAATGCACAGGAAGATAACATGGTGTACTTAAGTGTGACTTTTGGATTTTACACCTATCTTCAAATTTCAGTCTTAACAGAGACATTTTTTGCTGAAAAAACCCTTTCACCTTGATATATCTGTCGACTACTTCATATTTCAATTTCATGGTCAAAAGAATCATTATTTTTCTACTGGAAAGGCGAACCAATCGAACACTTAGGGTAATACCTTACTTTTGATCCCCCGAAGTCTATATTTCATTAATTAGTTTTTATTCCCACTTAGGACAAAACGTAATTTAATTTTTGAACATGCGAAGTGGTTAATGGTTTCAAGACTTTTAAACAGAAAATGCAACTAAAGATGTAGACATGTAATCAGAACTCAAAGAAGAAGAGATGGTACTACCGATACTACAAATGCATTATCAAATTAGCTTCAAATTTAGTAGTCTTTATCTGCCTTTCGCGGCAGGAGTTCAAATAATAATTCCATGACCTGATTATAGGTTTTTAAAAGTTGATTAAAAAAAAAAAACAAGCACCGACAGCAGTCGTGAAATTATTAGGAGTTGGTCCTCGTTCATCTTTTTATGTACACTCTACCGATTTAGCTGTTAGCTTACATAATCAATGCTTGTGTCTGCATATTATTATTTGAGTTGCCCGAAAGTGGTGAACAGGGTATTTAAGGAGGAAATGAGAGTTTCGAGTTTCGAGTGTTGCACACGCAGCTCATTGGTGATTTCCTGAACTTCAATAACTATTCAAAAAAAATATAAGGCCATTTTCTATAATGGCGACGTTACCAAAATTAAGGAAGTGAAACAGTGATTATAAAAATTTTGAATACGTAGACACATAGCCTCTGATGGGTGTTACCCCCCTCCTGTTGAAATAGCGTCCCTTAAAAGCATAAACCATTCTCCTTCTAAAACTACTTCAAAACTTTCCCAGCGCAGTGAGATATCCGAAACCCATCTGACGGTCGTGGTTTTTGTTTCACCATCCACGAACTGAAGTCAAACCGGGTTGACCACGCCCTTGTAGCAGAACGCTTTTATTAATTAAGAAGTAGAAATTTTGCGTTTAGATCTAGAAGGTTGAACTTTTAAAAACTTAATATTCCTCAAAATTTTGACTCGTTTTCTTCATACGGACAAATTTGATCACTCCTTTGTTGAATAATAATAATAATAATAATAATAATAATAATAATAATAATAATAATAATAATAATAATAATAATAATAATAATAATAAACAGCATTTGTATAGCGTAAATCTCCGCTCAACAGCAAGCTCTATGCCTTTCACAATCTATACTATTACCCCAGCAGACCTGAGAGTGGGAACATTCTGAAACAACTCTACTTCCCGGGAAGCATACAGTGCAAGCAGCCATTTATAGGCGCTAAAACACTAACATACTGACAAGATCTTTCGCTGCCTATGACCGGGTACCCATTTCCACCTGGGTGGAGTGAGGAAAATTCGTGTAAAGTGCCTTTTCCCAAGGACACAACGTCGGGCCCACGGCTCGAACCCCCAACCCCGCAACCTCACGACTACGAGTCCGGAAGCCTAACCACTTGTTCAAAGCAGTGCCGGATTAACCATTAGGCAAATAAGGCAATTGCCTTGGGGCCACTCAGAAAAATAGGCCACAAACGGGCCAGAGACAGGGTACAACAAGGCCACATTTTTTTCGTTTTTTCCCCCGTTTTGATCAGGCCGCAGCAAGGCCAGTCAGGAAGGCCACAACTAGAATAATCGTAAGCTAACCCAAGACAGAGTCCGACTGAGTTTTTAGTCCCAGGCCTAGTTCAGAAAGTGCTGTGACATTTTGTTTCGACTCTCTCTAGGCCACTTTTTTCTAAAATTAAATTGAATCATTAACAGTGGATTCCAAATCAAGCACCTTTGGCCTTATAAGTCACCAGATACCTGGCAACCCAGATAACAGTTCCAAAGTTGTGGCCCTGCTGGAGTCCAAAGCCTGCGAATGTTACATTTCTAGCCTAATTTCTGCCAAATTGACATTTTTCTAAGTGCACATGAGGTCACGAGGTGCAAGGTGCTTACAAAACCCCCGATATAAATAAAAATCAAGGTAGGCTATCTGTATAATAATTCAGACATGTATTATTAGGCCTACATCTAGATATTTTAAGCAAGGGTGGGACAGGAAGGGATGCCAGCATTATACATGTAAAAAGTTATTT